AAATCTCCTTGCTTACTTAAAATATATTGCCATCAGTGTTCTGGAGTGATCTACTCCATATATCCATCTATACACATAGCAAACATGTGATTCTAAACATATAAATCGAGTGTGAATGCAACTTAGTATCCTAAAATGACATGGTGCAATAACATCGCTAATAATATCAAACATATGATTCCAACCATATAAATCAAGTGTAGATACAACTTAGTATCCTAGAGTGACATGGTGCAACGTCACCACTATTCAATCTCGCGACCAGTGATCGTCCGTGAGCCCGACAATTATTTTAAAGAAAAAGAAAAAAGGACGGGAATAGATTTACTTCCCTTTGTTCAGAGGCACCACTTGTAAAGAAAATCCTATTCGGTTTTGTCCATATAGTCCACCAACTAATTCTCAAGCGATCTCCTCTGTTTGTTATAATCAGCCGCCTCCTCAGTCCTATGCGGATGGGCAAGCTGACCGCAGCTCTCCCCTTTCCCCTCCAATCAATTCCTTCCACACCGTATTGGTGGCGTTATCCCCCCACGATATCTCAGGAGAACGGGATATAAGGAAGAGGAAACACAAAAACCGCCTAAGTGCAATATTCCAAATATTTATTCAGCCAAAGAAAAACAAATGCACTTACAAGATCGCAGGGTTAAAAGCACATTGAACGAAGAGAATCCTCTGCTGTAAGAGACCAAAGCAAGCCGGTCCCTTGACGCGTTTCGTCTATGGACTTTATCAAAAGGGTACCATAGAAGAAACGCGTCTAGCGATGTTATTGCACCATGTCACTTTAGGATACTAAGTTGCATTCACACTTGATTTTTATGTTTAGAATCACATGTTTGCTATGTGTATAGTTGGATATATGGAGTAGATCAATGCCTCGTTTTGTCTATGTGTGGTGGCGAACATCTTGGTAGAGGAGCAGGGTTTTGCTTGCTCATGTAAGAACTGCCCCCCTGATGAATGGGGGGAGGGTAATATTTAAAGTGGACCTTTACCCCCTTTCAGTATAAATCACATCTACATCTAGCTCTGCATGCTGATATGAAATCATCTTACATGCATTAGCTAAAACAAACATTTTTATTTTGCTTACAATTAATTTTTTCCCCACTTCCTGGTCCACTTTAACACAAATGATGGTGAGAATGTTACATGAGCAGAGCATTGCTGGTAAATGTCATCTGTAATTACTATGGTAACTATATATACGCACAGGGATGCTCCTTTCTCCATACCACTCGAGAACCTTAGATGTAACGTGCGTAGGGGGGACCATAGGACCTGCACAATCAGATTCAGCGTTGCCAAGAGTTGATTGATTGATTTTATCTGATGCTCGTTTTATACTTGTCGAATGTGAGTGGTTCTTAATAAAGCATGCTTTTTATGGCTAAACCATCTGCACTTTGAGTTTTTCCATTGTATATTAATACCGTATTTGCCGGCGTATAAGACGGGTTTTGAGGCCTAAAAACATCGCCTGAAAATCGGAGGTCGTCTTATACGCCGGGTATGGATGTGGTATACTGTATGTAGCTTCGGCTACATACAGTATACCGCGCTGAGCCAATCACGGCAGGCTTTGTATTAATGAATACAAAGCCTGTATTCAGCTTGTATTCATTAGCCGAATGCTACCGTACATACAGTATTACCACACATCCAGCGGGCTGACAGATTAGCCTCCCTGGCGGTCTGATGATTTATTTTTCCGTTTTTTGTTCTATTTTTGTACTTTTAAAATTGCCGCCGGTTCCGCCCCCCTGCGACGCGGACGCTCGCAAGGGACTGAAGACGGAGGACACAGCGGGGATCGTGGACAAGGTAAGAGACTGTAATCCCGAGTGTGGCTCGGGGTTACCGCTTATGGTACTGAAAATTAACCCCGAGCCACACTCGGGAATACCACCATGGATGTTAGTGGGTGCAAGACGAGTATAGCCCAAAACCTATATTTTAACACAAAAAGTAGTGAGTCGTCTTATAAGCCGGCAAATACGGTACAAGGATCTGCTGGGACGTAAACCTTGCCTAACGCCGAAGACTGTCACAATGGATTCATTTATCAGGAGGAGTCGCTGGGAAGTGTTCGCTGGTGGCTTTTTCGTCTACTCGGTTTTAAAAGGAAGCACTGACCTTATTTGGGTTTTATACTAAGGTGAGTGGCATTCCAAAAGTTCACTCTGGTGGCGGTCACTGGAGATCGGGGTTGTGTTCACATATCCAAGAGATTTTTGTACATGCTGTGGAGTGGAAGCATATAATTTTTTGTGCATTCATAGGGATGATTTAAACACTATGTCATATTGCATTTTGGGGCTTATTGTCTAGAATTTACCTTTTTTCACTTTTTACACACTTTCTATATATATATA